TCACTAGGTATGGTCAAGACATATAAAAAACAACTATTGAATCATTGATTTTATTAAAAAATAACTATACTTCTTTCAACATAATACATATTATTTACTATGAATATTTTGTTAACATTATAAAACCAATTTATTTGAAATAAAATAATTAAAATAATTTTTTAAAGTAACCAACCAATTATTCAAATATTGTTTTTTATACTAATTTTGTTGATTTTTTTGTAAATAAATATATATAGATCTAAAGTATTTACTTGAAAAAAATAATCTTCTCACCAACATTAAATAAGAATAAAGTTTTAACTTTTCATTGGTTAATTTGTTTGCAAGTCTATACATTAATTGTAAATTTATTTTTTGGATGCATTCTTATAAAAAAAATAATTTTAAATTATTTACTTTTGAATTCTTAATTAATATATCAAATTTAAATTATTACAAGTTTTTATTTAAGAATCCCTAAATAAAGAAGAATAAATCATATTTTTTTAAGCAGAAATTTGATGGAAAACACAAAAAAAAAAAAAAAAAATAGCAATGATTAAATAAAAATAATTTTTTTTATGAAATAGGGACGGTACCCTGTGAAACTAAATTGATTGTTGGAATAATACAAGGGGGGACAAACCATCCTAGCTAACAGACTAAGAGGACAAGGTAGCCTAGACCCTTAAAACCTGATATTACAGCATAATAGTTTTTAATTCTTCCAACAAGACTAAGTCCTAACTTACTTAGGACAGAAGTTATATAAGCCAACTTGATCCTCCTTAATTGTTACTTGGCATGTGACAGGTAAAGAGTTCATTGAAAATACTATTTTGGACGGTGTATGCTGCAAAGGTCATTCTGCTAGTTTATCCGCTGCCATATTCCCTTCTCTGTAGCAGTGTTGCCATACTATTCCTTCATGACACAATTGTTTACATTTTCTTAAGGCGTATACAAGCTTCCATAGACGAGTAATTTTCGAGGTAATGCATCCTAATATGAGTGAAGAATCAGCGTCCACTATATCACATGGGAAATTATAGACTTGACAAAGTCTCAAACCATCCAGCAATGCCATTGCCTTTCCCTTAGAATTTGTTCCAACACCATAAAAGCAGGAAAAAGCCAAAAGCACATTTCCTTTATCATCCCGGATAATATCCCCTCCTCCACATAAATTATTCCTCGCAGCTCCATCTCTATTGAGTTTGTATCTACCTAACGGAAGCATAATCCATCTAATCCAACTTCCATCAGTTCTTGTAAAATTTTTGGTAGGTAGACCCAATGATCCAAAACAAATGCTATCATGGAATGCAGCCTTTTTCCTTGGTTTGAATAACCTGGTGAGATCCTATAGCCATCGCATCACTTTGGTTTTGATATCGAAATCACACATCTTATCTCCCTCAAACAATGACTTGTTCCTTGCTCTCTATATCCCTCACTCTTTAGATCTCCCACAAAAGACAAGTACAAACAATAACTCTAGAGAATTGTTTTTGAGACAGAATGTTACCAGGGGGAACCAAGCTTTTAGTAGCTGGTGTATGTTAGTCACTCTTGTTGTTACGTCTAGAATTGCCCCAAATTCCTTCCACAGTCTACCGGCAATCTCTTCATGCAAAAATAGGTGGCTTGTATTTTCCTCTTTTGAGGCCAGACAATAGTGGCATTTGGAAGCCAAACTAATACCACAGCCTTTCACATTTACCTCCACTACTAACGCATTGCTATACACCTTCCACACCAGCATCCCTATTTTCATTGGTAACCACTTGTTCCATAATGACTTGCACCACTCATATTTTACAGCATTCCTCCTCGGTGTATCAAGATAAGCTTTAGTGCAAAACTGACCTGCTATGGAGTCCATGTGGTATAATCTATTTGGTAAATTTTCCTCCAGTGATATGAGGTTCAATTCATACCTTATTGATTATGGTAAAGCTTTGTGTATGGACTAATTTGGGATAGCCTAAGCTACTGACACACCTAAATCGCTTAAAGAATGAGGAAGATCTACACTTGTCCATTTGTTTACACACAGTTTGATTATGCCTTCGCCAACTACCTATATAGACCTCACTAGCAGTTGTTGTATGTGCGGGATGATTGTTTCCATACCAATGATGCTTTGCCTCTGGAATTATTATTGAATGAAAGCCTCTCCATATTTATAACGCATAAAGCTACTCCATAGGGAAGAGCTAGTCAAATAAGCCTAGGCTAGTTTCTCTATCATAGCTTGCATCACATCTCTCAGGTTCCGGATGCCTAGCGCCCCCTCCTGTAATGACAAACAGATATCCATCTAGCTCACCTAATGATGTCTACTCTTTTCACCATTGTTCTAGAAAAAAATTATGATGTTTTCCTGCAATCTGTTTAAAGTAGCTGTTGGAATTAGTAGGACTCTTATGATGTAAATAGGGATAGAATTAAGCACACTCTGGACTAGTGAAATCTTGCCTCCCGATGACAATAATCTACCTTTCTAACTAGCAATTCAATCTTTAATTTTATTTTCCAGATTAGCAAAGAATTCTCCCCTTGGCTTACCTTTAAACAAAGGGATACCTAAGTATGTTATGACATTTGCTAAGGGCGAAAATCCAATCAATGTCACCAAAAGAGTTTTCCTACTAGCTAACGGTTGGATACTACATATAAAAGAGCTTTTATGAAGATTCACCATTTGTCTACTGGCAATAGGGTACATTAGCAGTACCTTCATAATCTTGTTCAGATTTCTCTTATTCCCATTGTAGAAGAGGAGCATGTCATTCGTAAACAGAAGATGAGTAATCACCATGTTCGCTCTCCTTGTATAAAATGGTTTGATGATGCCCTTCTCTGTCTAAGCTTTTAAATTTCTACTGAAAGCCTTCTAAGCGAGAATGAATAGAGCTAGGAAGAAAGGGTCACCTTGTCTTACCCCTCTGTAATCTTTGAATAAGCCATCTGCTTTAGAGTTTAGGTGGATTGTGTACCAGCAGTTACTGATGCACGATTGAATTAGATTACACCAGTCTTGTGAAAAGCTAAACCTCTTCAACACCTATAGTAGAAATGGCCATTCTAGCCTGTCCTTAGCCCTAGACATATCCACCTTCAATATCACATTACTATCATGAGATTTTCTATCACATTACTGTCATTGAAGAGCTCTTGAGCTAAAGCCATATTCTTCTGAATTAGACTCCCCTTCATAAAGCCTGACTGCTCTTTGGAAATAAGATGAGGGAGGACATGAAATAATCTATTGGAGATAATTTATGATAGAGTTTTATAGGACAAATTGCAAAGACTAATTGGCCTTAGGCCTAAAAATTTTATAGGCTTTGAATATTTTGGTATAAGAATCAGAGAAGCTGTTATAGCACCCTTATGTAGAATTCCTCCATGAAATATGTCCTAAATTGCCTCCACCACATCTTTAGCAATAATATCCCAACAAGTGCTGTAGAAAACTCCTGCGAAACCATTAGAACCTAGAGCGCTTTGCTCTTTTAGTGCAAAGGCAGTAAGTCTTATTTCCTCCTCATCAGGAGTTTTTATCATATCTTCATTCTGCTTCACAGTGACTAAGGTGGGTATCTCTTCCATAAAGCTAGGTTCCATGTATATGTTTTCACTCTTGAAAACATTCTATCCACAACAACTCCACCCACTTGGTTCTCATTAGTGCATATACTCCCATCTGCCATTGTGAGATCAAATTAGTCTTTTGCAACCCTACTTCTTATATATGCGTGAAAGAAGGTCGTGTTATGGTCACCAGCTTCCATCCATTTTATCCTAGATTTTCCTTGAAGAAGCATCTCCTCTTGATCAATCAATAAGGCTAGATTCCCTTTAACTTCATAATCAGCACTATATTTTTCTTACGTCTATCTCTGCTGTAATATTGCCTCTGTACGAATTACATTGTCTTTAGCTTGGTTCAGCTTCTGATTTAGATTCCCAAATACATTTCAGTTCTATGATTTCAAGCCTCCTCTCAATGCTTTAAGCTTGAGCTATAAGTTAAGGAATGGCTTGTCACTGTATGTGTTATTCCAGTTTACCTGTACAAAAGGAAGGAAATTTTCATGAATTCTTCACATCTTCTTAAATGAAAATTGACCAGGTTTAGGGGCGTTGGCCATCATAGAGAGAAGCAACATATAGTGATCTGAGTATAGTCGAGAGAGATGAGAATAGTTCAATCTTGGCAGAGTAGCCAAGGCCTTTGAATTTGCTAATACCCGATCCAATCTTTTCCAAATTCTTCTTACCGTATCCTGATTATTGTACAATGTGAATTTACTTCTCGAGAATTCCATATCCTATAAACCTGCTGCTTGTATCGCATTATTAAATTCATACATTGATCCTATGCCTCGTTGAGTTCCTCTTAATTTTTTCGCAACACCATTGAAGTCACTAGCAACAACCCATGGATCATTAAGATAAAGTCCCTGTAAACTATCCTGTAAGCCTCTTCTTTCAAACCTATCACAACTAATGTACACAGTAGTAAAAGCCATCTCCTTATGGGAATTGAGATCCTTTATTTGAAATGTAGCAGATTGCATACATATACTAATCATATCTATCGAAATATAATCCCATAATATCCACATATGTTTGGTTATTGGATTACCATGTAAGTACCTCGAGAACTGTAATGATCTAGCAAAAACAAGAAGTTTATCCCCCATTCTCTTAGGTTCTATAATGACAAGAAGAGTTACCTAATGATGATGAATGAGTCTTCTTAGGTATCTTTTTTTTCTGGGGTTCTTATCCCCCTCATATTCCATATAAGGCTATTTATTAGATAAGGAGAAGAACGGCTCCCCTTTATGATCTTTTTCAGATCTAGTAACTCTACTGCCATGAGTTTCACCATACTTTTCATTTTTCCTTGAGATTGATTTACCTTGTGCATTTATCACCTCCATCCCACTTCTAAATCTGTCTGTAACCAATGATAGATTATCATCTATATCCTTACTACCTTCTTACGCTGTATGAGGAGATAAATCAGGCTCCACATGCTCTATTAATATACCATCATCCATGCTATGGTACTCAATCATATTTAAGCATTCGAATGCATTGCTAGTATTGATATTCTCCTTTAGGTTTGGTTCCGTTAAGGGAAGAGCCTCTATAATGTCATTTTTGCAAGCATTTTCTGGAACAACTGTAGTAAACCGATTATCATCCATCATTTCCATGGTCGATTGCCCGTTGCCTACGACTTTGGAATTTTTATTTTCAATCCTCCTTTTTTCTTTATCAACTGAGTTTGGGATTTATGTGTCACTACCATGTGTACCAGCGGCGACTGAATCAATTGTCTGCATGAAATCATGTTCCACATGCTCTATCATAATTTCTTTTCCTTTATTAGCAATGTGATGTGATGTCGCAGAAACCCGTTGATGTTTTTTAGTATCATCTAACCCCGCTATATTATTGTTAGACTTCTGTTTCTAGATAGCCTGTCATGCTTGCTTCTGCTGGGGTACCATAGGAGGGACTGCATTAGTCGTTGATTGCATTTGTTGAGATTTTTTACTGCCCAATGGAACCAGTTTCCTGCATGTAGCCTTTGCATGTCCTGTAGCTTGCAATGTCCACAGTATGCATTATTAGACTCCACTGAGATTTGTTGCCAAAATCCATTGGTCTTGTCATTTCCTATTGATATCTAAATTCTACCAGGTATTGTGTTTGCTAGATCTACCTCTACAAAAACCCTATCATATATGGGATGGGAACCATTCTCGGTTCTATCATCAACATGTAAAAAACTACCAAAAGGCCTTACTATTTCCGGAAGAAAGGCTGTTGGAAAGAAAGATAGGGGAAGGCTTGGCAATCTAACCCAAATCACTGCCTTTGATGTTTCATTTTTGGTGCTGAAATTCTCGTCCCACTTAAACAATCGGAAGCTCAAGTTTTCAATGGTATGATATTCGCAGGACCATGGCTTAATAAAGTCCTCCTTTGAGTGTAGCCATATTAGTAAATGTCTTGGATCTATTAATCCAACTATCAGTGTAATTTGCATTCCCTAGTGAAGATGAATATGAGATTTGATGTTGTTGATGGATGGCATGCCACGGGAGAACTTGGCTATCAAAAAAAGCTCCAAAATTTTTGAAGACTGTTGAACCTCTATTACTGAAAATTTCACTACAGGTTCACCATTGAATGAAGACGAGAGCTTGAGGGTAATCCTAATGTCGGGAAGGTAATGTTGTGGGGTATTGGTTTTGTTAATGACGGCTGCATAAGTTACTGTTGGGGTGTTTAGTTTGTCAGGGTTTTTTTTTTTTTTTTTTTTTGGTGTTATTTGAGCTGGATGGATGTTTTGGGGATAGGAGGAGGGTTTTTGGAGGCACAGGGAAGGGGAGACAGAGTGTCCCCCATGGGGGAGACCACATCACTGGTAGGTTAATCGGTAGTTACTATAACTATAGCACCATACCTAAAGAGAAAGTTTGTTATGATTTTTCACCATTTAATCAATTATTTTTTAAAATAAAAAATAAAAATAAAAATTATAAAAATTTTAAATGATTTTGTTCTATCTCGTCCGTAGCGTTGCATGGATAATTTCAAAAATTAATATTCTCATTAGTATTAAATAAGATTTTTTTTTCATTTGTTAATTTTTGTAAAAGTCTATTCATTAACTATAATTTTATATTTTAGAATACAATATTATGTTAGATTTTTAATTTTTTAAAATTCTGATTAATATTTTAGTTAAAATTATTATATTTTTTAATTTTAAAATCAATTCGTAAAGAAGAATGATTTTTTTTAAGCAAAAAATTTATAAAAGAAAAAAATTAAAAAATTTAATTAAATAAATAAATTTTTAAATTTTAAAATGATTTTCTTTCTACTGGCCCGTAGCGTAGCGTGAGCAAGCAACCAATTAGAGCTATTTTTTATTGCTAGTGTTGCTGCCAACATAACAAAAGACTAAAATCGTACTCCTTATAGTATTTACGTTTGATCAAATTAAACATGCTATCTTAAATTTAGTCAAATCAATCCTTGTACATTTAATTAAAAGTTGAGCCCTTTCTTCCATCTTATATGGCCAGATGCATGTCACATATTATGATGCAATTAGGCAAAGATCTCAAATTTCCATTGATTCAAAGTAAAGGAGTTTAATGTAAAACAAATGGTTTGAATGGACCAAATATGCAAACTACAAGAACCAACAATGATTTTTTTGCCACGAACAAAATGTTAAACGTGATCACTTGTCACGAGTGGTTTATGCTTTATACTCTAGTTAGTTATCCCAATTCCAAGGACAGAAGGGATAGATAATTAGATATATCAAAACCTATTTAGTTGCAGACATAGAAACAAATTAAAACCTTTGTTTTTTTTCCCCCTAAATGTCATTGATTTAAGCAAATGGTTTGAATGGACCAAACATGTGTAAGGATGAATCATTTTATATTGTATTATGTTTGTAAAGGGATGAAATATAATAAACTAATATTTAGAATTGTGGGGTAGCTGGCTAGATAAGCATATTTGCATAGTAAAACGTTTTCATAACTACGTTCATTTTAATAACGTATGTAGATTTCAGAATAAGTACTGTTGAAAGTATGATTGAGTAGGGTTATTATTTTTTTTTCCTTCAAAAAAAGGTTTTTGGGCGCCGATTTATCCAAATCTATGCTATTTTTCCTAAGAATGTTATATAGCTAATTAGCTAGGATAAATTGCCATTATTCGTTCTTCTTTTCATTTACAATTTTTTTTTTTTTTTTGGTTCGTTAATTAAGTCAATTTGGAATACTAAATGATTTCATTTTGGTTATATAACGACTAATTTTCTTCCGCATTTTTTTTATTTTAATCTTCACCTCCTTTTTTTTTTTTTAACTGTGCCCCCAATTGAACTTTCTCAGTCTTTTTTCTCTTCTTTCAATTTAATCCATTTCTTCCCCAATTAAAATCATTTGCTTCTTATCTTTTCCAAGTACCCCACTCGATCTAGCTTCTCTTTAGATAATGACCAATTTTCTTGCATTCAAACTTACTCAAAAATCAAAATAAAGAATATGTTAATTATAATATTCAAGGTACCAGACTAACCACGTGAGGAAAAAAAAAAAAGGTAAGAACAGACCTGAATTGAGTTTAGTTCATTTTTCAAACCTATTATTGCACAACCCCACTCTACTTGGGCTGCCTACTCGTATAAACCCATTAACAGTGTTAATGGTCTTACTCCTATGGGTTTGAATTGGTTTTAATTTTAAAGGCTTCCTTGCTAAAATGAAAAGAAGTACATCTTCTGTTTTCATAAATTTCGTCAATATATATATATATTATTTTGGCCAATTAAATTCCTGTATTTTTTATTTTAATTAATTAAGGGTTGTTTATTAAATAAAAAAGATGCTACTTGGTGGGTCATTATGATGGGAGTAAGTAATAATATTAACATGAATGAAAAGAAAATTGATAATAATGATCGAAGTGGTGAAAAAGCTATTTAATTGTTTAAGACAAATTCTAATTTAGTTGACGTTGAAAATACAAGAGATTATTTTTACTAAATTGATAATAGATGAGCCTTTTTTTTTAAAATAATTTGAGAAAACTCGAAATGTAAATAATAGTTTGAGGATCAAATCTGAATAACTCAAATGATTGAGGACCAATTATATTTAGGCCACCGTCTATCCTAATTATTTATTTTCTTATTTACTTTTATATAATTAGGTATCTTATTTTCCTAAAGGATTCTCTTATATTTAGGATTCCTTATTAGTATAGTCTCAAAGTTAGTTTCTTGTTTGGATTTGATTTAACTATGTTAAAGGATTTATATTATTGGTTGGATATATCTCCTAAAATGTAGGGATATGCTGCCATTTTGGTGTGTTCCCTAGACCCTAGGTATCTAAACTTCTTTGTTGTAATTGTCTAGACAGTTTTGTTGTTTAATTAAAACTAAATAGAGAGATTTTTCTCTTCTTCAAATTATTGTTCTTACGTTGTATAGAATGCATCTTTATCCTTAGCACTAATCGCCCAAGGTGGCAGCACAATCATCGCTTTTGAAGAACCAAGATGGCGCATATATTTCCTTACTCCCTAGATGTACATATCCCAAATCTCAACAAATTTTACAAGTAGGTTTTGATTCACTATTTATCCTTAATTGAAACTTATTGAATTTGACTTATCTATTTTAATTTTAGGCTTAGATTTTAGGCGTGAAATTTAAAGAAACACAAACGTGAAAGTTTTTATCAAGAAAATTTATTTGTGTATTCCTTTAATTTTCACTCCTAAACCTAATTAAAAAAAAATAGCAACCTAAGTGAGTTTAGTTTAGGATTTTATAGCTAAAAATATATATATTTTTAATTCTTGTTCAAATTTTAAAATGGTAAAATAATTTGAGAAAAAAGTTTCTTTCAACAAAAAGAGGGTAAAATTATAATTTTATATCCAAACACGCCATCAACTAACGAATAAATTGATAAAAATTCTCGATTTACAATTTTGAAAACGTTGATACACTTAAATGAAAAAAATTAAAGCTAATATACTTGATTGAGAAAAAAAAAGATAAAATTATAATTTGGTATTTTGAGGGTAATAAGCACATCATTAGTGAACAAAAAAATTGATAGAAATATTTTATTAATAATTTTAAAAATTTGGTGTATTAAAAAAAAATTGTGTACTCGATTGAGAAAAAAATTAAAAAATTATGTATTTATAATGCAATTATCCCGATAGTAGAATGATGATGTGTTGTGATGATGAGGTAGTGGTAGTGATAAGGTTGAGGGTAGCGGTGATTTTTTTTTTTTGGTGTTAGGGGAGGGGTAATGGTTAGGGATGAGCACTATTTGGTAAAAATTGAAAAATCGAATTGAATTAACAATTTTGATTCGTTTTTATTTAAAAATTGTTTTTAAAAAAATCAAAAAATTGAAATTATTTTGGTACAATTTGATTTTTTTTTCAAAACAATTCGGTTTCCATCGACGAACCAAATTTTGAAACAACTAAACCCTAAGTCCCGACTCCCTACATCTAATTTCTAATTACCTTCTCTTCACTCTTCGATCTTCGCTACCCCTAAATTATCATAGCGAAACACCAAAAAAGACAAAAACCCATTCTCCGAGTCTTCGGTTCTCCTCTCTTCATAGATTCATAGTCACTA